TCTATACAAAGGGTATCAGGGCATAGTCCACCACGCGGCCCCACTGCGGATTGGCGGACTTCACATATCTTCGAAAAATATTTTTTTTTCTTATTATTTCGAAAATATGAAGGTTTCCTCACGAAGTTTTCCTTCACCGCGGAGCACGTGATAAGTCAGCACTTAAAGTTACAAACTTCATTGGTGCCGGCACCGGGGATCGAACTCAGGTTGCTCGAGTATATTGAATTAAAGGCGAGCGCCCGCACACTGAGCTATCACGGCTCTGATATAACACGTGAGATTCTTACTGCAGTAAGAATTGGATTCGCACGCAATAGTTTCTGCTGTTGCACGAATGGCAGAAATAAAATGCCGGCTAGTCCAGGGGAGTATCACGACCTCACGGCCTCAGAAGAACGGCTTGAAGAGGTCCAGGTAGCCCGGCCAAGGTGTTGTCTATGCATAGGTGGCGGTTATCACTTAATATCATGCGGACAGCCCCCTTCCCAACTTATCGCATAAAAAAATTCCAAAAACGTCTATTCAACGCCAGTAAAGTCGGCGTTCCTAACATTTAAGATGCGCTAACTCACTCAACGGACGAAACGCAAAGCACTAAGTTCTACCTCCCACCTATCTTAGCCAAGGTCGGTCGGAAGTTTATTTGTCTCGATTGTCTTTCTACTGTCCTTATCCCTCCCATGTGGGTTATCGTAGTATCGGCAAAACATGCAAATCGTGTTGGTGGTGCTATTTGGCTAGATTATTTTTAAAGAACGGCCTCTGCCTGAAGACTACCCTCCTAAAAACACAGATACGGAATCATCCGTGGGTCACAGAAGTACTTGTCCCGCGTGGGAATCGAACCCACGACCACATGGGCGCCAAAGCCAACAGCTTGGCAACTGCGCCGCCGAGTCTATAATTGATGATTTAGAACACAATTGTAGTAAATGAAAGTATATGTCATCTGCTTTAACAAAAAAGACGTTTAATTTTCCGCCGACGCGAAACCCGATCTTTGTCAGTTTTGGCGCACATCGTATGCCGTACATATCGAATTTAAGAAGGCACGCCACGATAAAACGGATACAATTTCAGTTTCCGTGGACGATTACGTTTAGTAAATTGTCACATTTCCTAACCAAAGCGTGATACAGGGAGTTATACAATAAACTAATAAACTAATAAACTATTAAACGTGTTCGTGTTCTTCATTTTTAAGTTTGCGCGAAGATGTCACTTCGATGGTGGGTCATTGGCATTGTTCTTTGGCTATATGAAGAGTGCAAGTTAGCCAGGAAGTGTAAGATAGGATTTTTGTGATTGTTTTTGTATAAGTTGCATTTGTTCATAATAATCGTCTGTGTAGGCGAAGTCGACATTAATCATGTAACAAATTAAACCTTTGCCTTTGTGTCGGTCGGAAACAAATAAGAGTTAAAAAATTCCATTCAAAGGGCTTACGATAACGAAGTTTTTGCATTTCTTTGTTAGATTGTAGGCGACTTGTTTATTACGATACGTCAATGGGTCTCAAAATATATTCCACTTTAGGGTTGCCATACTGAATGTCGCCCATTGTTGCTACAACATAACGGTATCCTTGAAGCCGTTATTATAAGTGCCTCACAGTTTAGGCTGGCCATGTTTATAAAAACAAGCAAGTATAAAACAAAGTCAAAGGGAATTTGTTTCTAAGCACCAAATGTTGCTCTACTGCTTGTTTCGCTAACAATTAATTAAATATGTCGCGAACATTAAAAGCGATCCGAAGGGTACAAAAGTCCCTTTACGTTCTTATCAAAGTGCCTTTGGTCGTATTAAAAGAAACGATATTATATTATGCATTGTATGACGGGTCACTAGGTCATTCGACGCTGAAAGGACGTAGCAAATAATATAAAAAGAGCGATTTCTTTACGTGTTTGCGTTCATAACACTGTTACAGTTAATTTTGTTTAACAATCGCTAAAATGTTAATGTTTGATCGACCACTATTACCTAAATAGTTTCCGACCGAATCAGAGATTTTCAGCCAAAACCGAATATTCTGCCTCTTTAATAATATGTTACCAAATATTCTCATTGTTAGGGAATATTATAAGAAATGCGCCATCAAAATATATATTTAATATATTAAAATATATGTACGTTACAATTCTGTATAAAAGGAATTCGTCCTTTATAATATAATAACAGATATTAAACAAAACAATACTTTTTTCTTAAAGATCCCACCCAGTACCCATACACAAAAACCTTTTAAAATGCACTCGCATTTTAAAGTGTTCACTCACCAGATGAAACGCAAAAGTATAACGTCCACTTCACCACACGCCCCATTTTCAAAAGGTTGTCAACGCATCTGAAACCCTCTGGTGTAACAGATGCGGTGCATGGTCCATGGGCGGCGGTATTCACTTCACGTCAGGTGAACCGTCTGCTCGCTTGGCAACTTTACACATTAAAAAAAAAGTCGCTAGCATGTGATGCGGTTGTACTTCCCCGGACGAGTCTACTCATTCGCGCAACAGCAAGAGTTGCTGTGCGGCCCATTTAAATATGCATCGTTACAAGGAACGATAGTTTAAAGCGAACATTATCGATATATACACGCTTCAAATTATTCGAATACGACGAACACACCGCACTAGCAAACGAACGAGGTAAAAAAATATGCGCATTTTAATTGGTTAAAGGCTTCCAGACTTCGACCTCCGTTGAGTCTTTGCGAAGTTTTTTTAGTTAAAACTCCGTTTCTAAATATTGCGCTATCTGATCTTTGTAATCATTGCTTTAATCCCTATGGAAAATATTAATTACAAAATAATTTTAATAAACGAGCAGCATTAAAAAATAGATTAAGATGATGTCTAAAGCTTTACTCTCTAATTCCGTTTCTTTTATATATCTAACGGTTTTGATGAGTTTTAGTACAAATAATACCTCTAATAAAAATAATATAATAAGCGTTTCCCAGTAAAATAACTGGGTAAGAAAGAGTCCACCAAATCTGCTCTCTACTTATTTCTCTACTACTTCTATATCTTCCATTTAGTAATCTTATTAATGATTATATAACACAATTAATCACCATTAAATTGTCTATACAAGGTCTGCAATAATAAAGCAATTAGCATAACGACATACCAACATTTACGAGTAAGCCTGGGGCATTGGAGTTTTTTTTTTTGGAGAAAGCGAAAATAAACAAGGCGTCTAATAACGGGCGAACGTTTAGTCTAAGAATTGTCGGGATGTTGAAAACATTCTCGAATCCATTATACTCTACCTGGCAGTTAAGATAAAAAAAGAAAAAAAAATAAACCTAAGTAATTTCTCCACAACGTAAAACGTAAACATTATAGGATAAACCCAAACAAAATAATAACTCATTTTCTAATTGACAACAAACACATTATAATTTGCTATAAGTAAGCATCTTGGTTCAACTTATGCTTCTATAGGTATATGGCAAATTACCGTCTATTTTCCTTATGACTTAACGACTATGGCATAAAAGGCGATTAAGAAATCAGAGCTAATCTGAGCTAGGCGTTACTTTGTGCCATTTAATAGTGTTTCCTCATTTTGCTAAGTTAGTGACGGCTTGGTTTAGATAAGCATATTGCGTCTCCTTCCATATTTTCTTCAAGATAACAGAGCAATTATTTTTAGCTGAAGCAACTTTGATCAAATGTATTATTCACATTTCATTGTCAAAGTGAAAAAAAAAACATTATAATACACAAATTGTAATATATATATATATATATATATATATATATATATATATATATATATATATGTATATATATATATGTATATATATATATGTATATATATATATTTGACACAAATTGTAATATATATATATATATATATATATATGTATATATACTTTGTTACGAATTATGATTTATTAGTTAATTCCAGTCTACAAAAGAGGACAGTGCAATGATTTTAGTGTTTTTATTATGCCATTTATAAAGTAATGGTGCTTTAACCACAGGATTATCTGACTTCATCACAAGTTTAATGTTAGGTTATTTATTAACAAGTTTTTTTGTTCACAATTCTGACAACACAAGTGTGAAAATCACAAGTGTATGTGAGCGAGTGTTTTTCTACGATGAATATCATCACAAACACTTTAATTGTAATTACTTATAACATTATGATTACAAGCTTGACAAGTTCTGTTTTATTCCATTTAATTTTTCATAACATTTTTCTCGATTTTGAGTAATTTACAGGTATGCAACAACATATAAAAGTTGTATCTACAAATAGCCATATCAAAGTATATTCAAAACCAAAGTTTACTTTTCTTTCAGAATTTTTTTAACACAGGCCTTTGGGAAATTGTGTATGGAGTAATACTGAACAACAATACTGTACCCAACTGTGTACAAAACTTTTTATACAAAGTACATAATTTTTAAACCTGACAAAATATCTCCAGCCAAACCACAGTTGACTGTATTAATTGACAAGCCAAATAATAACCAAAATTTTATGATCAAAACTTCTTGAAAGACAAAATGTAACTTTTATATCGTTTTTGAGTTTTATTTGACATTTCCTTTCCTATATCAAATTATTTAATAATAAAATAATAGCAGAAACAAAAAGATAAGAGACTATTAAAAAGTAATGAATGTTTATGTAAATTATCGTCAATTGTTTAAAAATACTTCACAAAAGGAAAAATTGCTTTTGCAAAAAGTTTTTTTTCCAAACAAATGTTGAAAGGCCTACAGAAATAATTGTGGAAAGATGAAACAAAATGTTTCGTAATCTCAAATTATTATCCTACCAGCTGCTGCCCGCGACTATGTCTGCGTAGAATAAGCTGAAGGTGTAACATTCAGATAGATATACATAAAATATGTATATAAATTATAGCCTATGTCTTATTCTGATGTATAAGCTATATATTATTATTGTAAAGTTTCATAAAAATCCATACAAATACAAACTTTCGCATTTATAATAATATTTGGTTTACTAACCTCTGCATTTGAATATGCATCAGGGCCTCCATTTTTCTCACATTTCTCTCTGAAAGCTTTTGTTGATTTATTCTGGATATCTTGAATCTGTGATTCATTAACTGTGCCTTGTAGATCAGAAGGTAATGCTTTTAGCACATCTGAAGCTGATGGCTCCGTCTGAGCATAAGCAGCCCCTAGAAATGAATAATGTTATTTAAAACTCATTCTTGGTATAAAATCAAAGTGTAATAGTTTAAAAATAAGTTTTGTGTGTAAACATATATTTGTTTTTAATAATGAGTTTATATAAAGAACGCATTATAAGAAACAACACAATAACAATATAATTTTCACTCCTATGACAAATTTTATTATAGTTAAAAAATTGTATTACATTGACATCACAAACTACATACAAAGCTGTTATTTATAAGAGGATTATTGTTTAAAATTTTAGCTTTCATTTTTTTGGCGTATTATCAATAGCATCCATGTGAACGAGATATCAAAACAATCTGTGGATTGTAGGATAAGATACCAGGATGTTTTGAAAATTTATTTTAATTTTAACTGTTCAGATTCTGACACAGCAAATAACTTTTGATAGTAATAAAATATTATCAATAAAATTGCGATACCAATGCTTACCTATGATTATTGCCAAAATAAGATAGTTCACAATCATTTTGTAGCTGTTTAGAATATTTTCTTTATCAGTAGAAAAATAAAAAAACCTCGAGTAGTTTAATATCCTCCACAAACCGGTATTTATATGTTACAATCTAATTAAATCAATATTTAACTTATAAATCTTTCGACTTCACCTCTCACTTCCAAAATGTGTATAATAAATTAATAACGCAGCAACAGAGATTAACGTGAATCTAAACAACCCTAACGAACACCGAAGTCGAACTCGAACTGCGAGCGAGGCTGCGATGAAAGAACTGGCAAGCAGTGTTATCAAGTCTCAAAAATATTTGTCCCTAAAGCTTAAATCAAAAACCCCTAAAACCCCAAATTAAATAATGTTATTGAAAAAATTATAAATAATAAATAGCGCAAAGATTTTTGCATTAATTTCCACATGAATAGAAAAATGCAGTGAAGTATATTACAGTGAAAATGTTGGTCTTACAAAAAGTGTATCAACAAAAATTTTTGGAAATTTATTTAAAAAACATTATTTCTCTCCCATGATTTCTTTATATAACCAATATTTTTTTATTGTAATTCCAAAAATTATATTAATATTGAATACTAAAAAATATTAACTACTTTTGGCGCTTTCTTCAAAATTTATAAGACGCTACATCTATTGAATAACACCGGTCACTAAGCTGCTAGGTCAACAAATAAACATGATTGGATAAACTGCGTTATACCATACCTATATAATAAAACGTAGAAAAAAATGCGACGGCACAAAAAATCCATTAAGTAACCCTAAAATGTAACGCCCCTAAAAAAATCCTAACGCGTTTGTTTACCCCCTAAAGGGGGAAAAGACCCTAAGTTGGCAATCCTGCTGTAAAGTGGCAACTAGTAAGAATAGACAAAGAAAGACATGGCATGGACAGTCTTTCTGGCAGTTATGTTTTTTTTTATGCATGAGAACAATCTCTGTGTATAGATCACGTCTGTCGAAAAACGTTGAATTGGTGGCGCTACGGTAGTAGGGTATTAGGCAGTGGTGGTGAATTAACAGTTAAATACTGCTGATAATCTGTTGTTAACACGCCTGGAGTGAAGCCGCGAAACACTAAAGCAAAGAAGGAGACAGCAAATTAGTTTAATACGGGACAGACGGGACGATTTTTTTCTTATTTCTTTAATTACCTACCCTTTTCTTTTCCAACGAAACGTGTGAATGTTTGCTATCACTCTGGTTAGAAAAAGGAACACTTTGGAGTGGTGATTTTGTATGACTACAATAAAATATAATATCGAGTTTTCTTAAAAAAAATATTTGACGTCATAAAAATTATTATCATTTAACTACATATGTAACTTCTTTAAATTGTCGTTCAGCAATTTCATGTCAATCAAACAACTATTACTAAATTCTGTTGATCTAGGTCTGTCTTTTTGGACGGGAAAGGCCGTATGGTTCTGGGACACAATGACGGAAGTTTGTAATGTGTTCATAGCCCGTTCCAGAAATCTCCCACAAAAGAGCCGAGTGTATTGGTGGTCTGAGGAGCTCTCGCAAATGCGTAGAGCGTGTCATGGCGAGGCACCGGTTCACCTGATGACATGACTAGGAACAGTTTAGAGTAAGGAATCATATCTTAAAAGATTAAAAATACTGGAAAAAAGAACGATACGCAAAATCATAGCTTAAAATAATACGTCAACTGCATAAAATAAAATCCATTGATACAAATATTTTATTTGTCATGTATGCTATTTGAACATATTTTATTCTATTTTCTGTATTTTTATTCTATATGGGTCATGGGTTCAGAGAGTTACAGTTTGTTAAATAAAAGTAGTTTCACAAAATTACTGATATCATGCATATATTTATACTTGTAACATTTTAAGACGAAATACTGATTGTCAGTTAGCTTCACAAATTATGAATGACAGATATAAATATGTATATGTATAGAGTATAGGCTATGATATGGCTTAGGTGAAGGTGACAATATAAACATTTCAGTGTTTTTTATTAGCGGTAGAAATTGTCAGTTATGTATTAATTACAATATGACTTAAAATTATGATACAGGTTTTGACTTTGAAAATGATTATACCATGGTACCAAATGGTTAGTAATATAAATAACTACAACTTTTATAACTTATGGTACAATTTATTCGAAATATAGACATGATAAAACATAAACAAACACGAAATTGTGTTAGTCCTCTTAACAGTACTATGTCAAACAATAATGAATATTTACTTAAATTAACGCCTAAAGATCCACAGAAAAAGGAATATATTCAAATGAAAGATAAAAAAACTTTAGCTGATTGGAAAGCTTCGAAAAATACAATGAAACCGAATCTGAATGTAATACGGGGCAGTGGCGACACTAAGTATTTTTTGACTACTCGAAATAAACGTGTTGCCAACATTAACATTAAAAATTTCATAAAATTTACTGAAAAAAAGCGACATAAAGATGAAAATAACAAGAGACAGTATCTTACAGAGAACTTTTTAAATGTAAGTCAGGGTACAAATATACATTCTCCATCATTTGATAATAAATTTAATGTCAAAAGAGATGGTATAACAGGTCTTGAGAAGTCTAAAACTGACAAAGGAAAAGGAAAATTAGGTATTATGCACATAAAAGAAAATTATAAAAATATTACGAGAGGGAAAATGCCTACCTCTGTCTATTGTCACTCTCAGGAAAACTTTAAAAGAGTTTTAAACAGTTTTAAGCAAAATGAAGAAAACATAACTAAACCTGAAATTAACAATGGCCAAAGAAAAGGGAAACAAAATAATAGCTTTTTAATACAAAACAATCAATCTATATTGGGATTCAAAAATCATATCAAAAGTGGTATCACTTCGGTTCAGTGTGAATATAGAAGTAAGATAAATAATATAATTAAAAACAGTGATAAAGTCAACAACATCAAACACGCTCATGAAGTAATACTGAATACAAAAAATGACGATTCAGAAATAATCCTAAAAAAGTGCGACAGTAAAGAAGCCGTGTGTTTTAATAAACCTCATAAAATTGCATCTAACTTATTGAAAGAAGTAAGAAATGCCGATAAGATAATAAGTAAAGACAGTCTTAACGCAGCTCCCATTACAGATGAAAAACATGAGAAACCGAGTAATATATACAGAGATATTAAATGTTATTTAGTTCATTTAAAAATGGAATCTAAACAAGGCTTGAATGTCAAAATACCGATGAAAGCAAACAAAATCGGCAATTCTCCAAAAAGCTGTAAATGCAGAAATGAATTTAGATCAATTTATAAATGTTTTTATTCCAAACAAAATTTGTCAGTTACGAGAACTAAGCATCGCTGTTACTGCGACGATTACTCACTTCTTAAAAGAAATTTTAAATGTTTAAAGCATATCCGTTCAAAAGTATTAAGGCTCTTTAAGCATAAAAAAATAATCATACCAAGTAATAATATAAAAGATATTTTCAATAACAGAGATTCTAAAAGTTATGGATCTAATAGTCATTGTCAAGAAAGCAACATTGATAACAGCAGAAACATGATTAGAAAAACAAGTTGTTCTAAGAGTAATAAATTTTTATTACATCGCAATAAATTATTTCAATCTCCGGGTACATCTATTAAACATCTAATAACATCTAGCAAGTCCAATTTAGTTAAATTAGTTAACAAAACAATTTGTAATACCTTTAAGAAAAAAAATAAGCTTGTTATTGAATATACTGATCATGAAAATTGTGATGAAACCCTATTTGAGATAAAAATTGATGTCTATAACAAGCGCATTGTAAACAAACGTGAATTGAAAACGAAATTGAAACCATTAAAAAATGATAAAATACAATGCTACACTCAACGTAACCTTGATAATTATGATAATATAAAACCTGGCTATAGTTGTAATAATAATACTAATCTGAAAGTAAAGCAGAGAAACGGTTTGAAATATGCAATTTCTCCTACCCCTAGTTCTTCTAAAGGTCCCTTATTTGAAGTGAAATTGGACTATAACAATATGCAAATATTGAATTTTCCCGAAATTCTGCAGAAGATTCGTAACTTTAACTGTCAAAATCTTTCAAAAGTAAGCAGTAACTCTTTGGATCAAAACTTAAGTAGGAATCATAAATTTAAGCTCAACAAATATGATCCTAAACACCTTCGAGATATAAGATCCAAGATATCATGTTTGTGGACGCGATTTATATGTAAATCGGATACGAAATCGCAGAATAAAGACAAAAAATTGTCATCAATGAGCTTTGTTAAACATTCCACCAATATTCCAAAAAGAAAAGGTAATTAATTAGTATATATTGGATAAGTTTTTAATGTATTAAATATTATTTAAAAGTTCTCGAACTGGCCTGAAATGTTTAATATATCTAAAAAGACCAATCATATTCAAATGTTTTGCCATTACTTATTATAAAAATCATCCAAGCAATCAATTTAATATAATATTTATTAGCTTATGTTTTTGTTGTGTTTTAATTGTGTATTAAATTAATTACTTTCCAGCTATACGAACAAATTTTAGCGTAATTTCAAACGCATACAAACAGGTAACCAACCGTAAAAAGCAAAAAAAGGTATCTGATTCGCATAAAAGCAAGAAAAGTAATAAAAAAATTAAGAAAAAGTTACAAAATAAACGAAGTGCTATATTGTCTAATCGACCTTATGCACTGAAAACCACACGATTACGAGGAGTATCACAATTTAAAAGGAATACCGAGACATTGACTTCTGCTGTACCTAGTAAAGTCTGGGACAGATCTAAATTAAGCAACAGAAAACTAAAAAAAGACAAATTCAAAAAGCAAAAACGAAAAATAAAAAAACCAACACGAACTGCCGACAGAAACATTTCACGTAGGTCTTGTAAAAATATTAAAATACGGCAGAATGACCATGCAGCGAATGTACAAGTTATGAACGTGGTTTGTCCGCAACAAAGAAGTGGAAGGAGAAAGACACGACAAAAGCGCCGTGACCAAATTTCTTATCATTGCCAATATGCTCAATTAAAAAACACTAATAGGTCTTGTTTATGGTTATACATTGTTTGTCCTTTCCTATACCATTCATATTTGACGATGAAGGCAATCATGAGATATTTTGCCCGTTGCATGTTCGTTATAATGTCGTTAATAGCGTGGATTCCTTGTTTTATCGCCTTAGAAATATTACATGCTTGTTACTTTTGTTCGTGAAATATATTGGTGTACCTGTACTGTCCACTGTTATAAATGGTAATTAAACTTTTACCATCCACTTTTTTAATTTTATTAATAGCCTAGGTACCTCATTTTCTTTGTATTCTATCAGCAACAAGAAAACCATCACTTGAGTGAACATAACAGCTCAGCTATATTTTTCTTAGTAATTTGATAAACGGAATACGAAACATCGAGCTTACAAATACGGGATAAGCTAATAAATATATTTTTAATATTTAATGTTAAAGTTTATATTCATCAAAACAGTAAAACTGCAAAAACACTAAAATTATCTGATAGGACGGAACGGCTACTTTGTTTCCCGTTCTTTAAAAGGCAGTGGTCATATTGCAATATACATTATTTATTGGCTTAGAAGAAAGTGCCATAATCATTTTTACATTTAAAAACCACTTTCAGCAGAGCCATTTGTATCGTATAGAAAATATACGCTACTCCCTACTTAATCTCTTGTTAAGGCCATTTTTTGGCGATTAACGTTCCCACGAGCGAGTGTCTAGTTTATAATCACTTCACTATACAGCTAATTAGTCTATCTATACCGTCACTTTAACAGTTCTAGATATAATAAGTCGTTCCATGATTATTAAATCGTGTTATGTGATAACAAATATCTTAAATTGTGTCTACCCATAAGCAATAAAATACAAGATATACATTAAAGGCAGCTTTGACGGCCTCCTTGGGATATAATTAACTAGCCTGCTTGAAAGGAAGTAATTGTATTTATATAATTTACATAGATTCCATCACAGCATATATTTATTTCTTTTAAATTTATGAACATGATTGCGTTAGTCTTTGGCTTTTTTTTCACTCATATTTGTTAAAATTTCTTCTAGCAGCGTCAACACTTTACTCATACTCTGCTTTTCCTTTACGAATTCTTTTACACTCAAATTATTAGTCTGTGTGTCCGTATAAACATTAGATGTTGTTTCGTGGACCTCGATGAAATTGGCGCTATCCAGTGAAATGTACTGCTCTTCTTCAGGATGATTACCAGCACGCTCGAAATTACTCTTCTCGGTTACCATTGTCAAGGGCTCTTTTGTATCGGTCACTCTTGTGGTTCGGGTAACTTCTAGGCTTTCTGTTACAGTTGGACTTTGTTCCCCTAATGTATCTGGAGATTTTGGTTGGTCTGGGGGTTTTGGTTGTTCTAGCTGTTGTGGTTTGTCTGTAAATTCTTGTTTATACAAATCATCGAGCCGTTTTAGAGCGGATGGAGGTGTTCGGACCCGAGAAACTTCAGATTCTTGTTTTTCTGGATCCTGTGCTGCTTGTTGTCTCTCTGTATTTACGTCGCGGTCACTAGGTTCTATCGACCCACCACCAGGTCTGTCTGTACTGCTGTTTCCCGCTGTGTTCGCATTATCGACTGCACTTTGGCATTTTCCCAGAGTATTTTCAAGCCAATTCGTGTGATATACAACAATTAGGATCGCCGCGGCTAATGCGAGCAAACAACCGATGGCACACATGATTTCATACAATTGTAGCCTACAGTCAGTCGCACACAAGCCTTTATATTTATTTCTAAAATAACAGTATATTCTGTTATATAAGCGCCAGAAGAAACGAATTATCACAAAAATAAAAACAAAGGTTCCAATTATAAATCGAAGAAGTAGGTCCAATAGGCCTAATATGACATTTTGCGTGGTTTTTGCAAGCTTTTGATAATAAAGCACCAATGGGCAAACTGTGCACATCGCACAATAAAGCTAAGGCCAATGTATAGTTGATAATTTTTAATAAATCTGAGGTGAACACATATTACGTAACAACGCAAACATATTAACATATTTAGTCACAATTACACAAAGATATTAAAAATAAACAATTCCCATAATTATCTCAATTTACATGTCGATTTCAGTGCAGCAGTTAATACGTCAATGATATACAGACAAGCGAACGAAACAAACATTTAAGCATAATATGACACGTTTATGTCACAGACAATTTAAGATTTCATTAGTTTTAAGACTGTGTAATAACACAACAAAGATCTAACTAATAGATGTAATAAATTAAAAACTTAGTTAAAAAGAATTACTTTTGTAACACATGTCATACAGATCGATGATGTGATCACGACAAATAAATAAGCATAATTATATTCCACACAATATTTTGTATAAAATAAAAATAATTACATATAGTTTTCTCTAAACCTGAAACCACAATCAAAAACCACGAGCAGGCACTAACCATGCCGACCTCTCCAAACCGGGTTCCCGCCTTGTCGTGGCGGAAGGTCTTTGTAGCCGTGGCTTCGTCACCTACGGTGAAGCCAAAAGAACCCACTCTTACAGCACAGACCGGCCCGAAAGGGCCGCTCCGATTGGGCTCATTGAGCCCCTTTCGATGATGCGAGCGAGGAGGGCGTGGCTGAATGTTCCACCTGCTGTGTTCCACCTGTTCCAGCGTGTCGCACCTGGAGGAGCCAGGTTGATCCCCGAAGCGGGGCTGCCAAGGAGGCAAGCGATGGCAGGATCGCGGAAGCGTGCAGAAACGTTCCCGTGGCCCTGCTGATATGCACATAAGTTGAACATCAACAACAAAAAAGGCACTAACTATGCCCGTTTTGCTTACTCTTTCCGGACTTCCTCTCCATTTGCAAGTGATGTAAAGCTGTTGAGTAAACATTTATGTTGTTGCCTTTATAACTGGTCTCGTAATCATTCTGATTGAACGCAATTCCAATCATAGGGGCAGCATAGATACTCGAACTGACTGAAATACGATACGATCTAATGGATGTACGCAAAATGAGACCACTTAGGTATGTATCTGATATGAAGATGAAATATACATAAATTTATTTGAGAAGATACTACGGGTTAAGCTGATAGAAAAATGTTATTATTCATTAACTGTTTATTGAATATATTTTTTCCACCATATTTTACCTTTTTTTTACTCATTTAATTGAATATATTCGATTTTTGTCGTACGCTTCTTTCGCGGGTGCGCGGGTTCTTTCGTAGCTATCGGGGCTGCCCGGTATTGGTAGATGACGCACTCGGGTAGTTTTGCGGTATCTTTTGACCATAGCAGAGGAGTCCCCCTGGCTAGATCCAAAGGTGCAAACTGACAGAATTAAAGCAATTCCGAACCCTTGCCAATATTCAGAATTGCTTAACTTTCTAGGGTACTTACTTAACTATATCACCTACTCGACTTCCAATCACCTGAATGAAAATGATGGCGTAGTAACATTTATTAGAAGTATAAGAAATAACATTCTCAAAGACCTTTTTGTATTCAAATTACCACGAATTACTTTACTATTTGAGCCGTAAAAGGCATGACCATACGTAGTTTGTACACTCCATTAACAACGCAACGATGTTTTTGTCAAATCACTTCACAACCATCTAGAGTTTCTGAAATCGAATCTCAATATTTTAATTATATTGTATGTCTATATAATTAATATAATATATAAGGGTGACATTAATATAAATACGGCCCAAAATAATCCGAACAAACATATAAATAAATAAATAAATATTTTAGGACACATTTTTCAACATACACAACATTCTCTAGTCCCAAACTAAGCAAAGCTTGTACTATGTGTACTAGAAAACTGATAAACATACTTAAACATACTTTTCTTTTGTCAATAAATACATATTATACATATATTAACACCCAGACACTAGAAAAATACTATGTTCATCACACAATATTTATCCAGTAGTGGGGATCGAACCCGCACTCTCTGGCGCAGGAGGCAGGTACACTATCCACAACGCCATTCGAGTCGTCAAATATAAGATAAATAAGCGATTCATCTTCATCATTTAAGCCTGTTTGAGTCCACTATCACCTGCATCCATCGACTGCCCGCACACTTGCACAGGTCGTCACTCCATCTAGTGAGGGGTCCTCCTACACTGCGATAGCCAGTACGAGGCTGCCACATAACAATAACCGATTAAATTACCTTAATTCATTATCCCTTCACGGCGAGTCACTAGCACTCCTTGCGAACCAGTAGCGTAACGCGAGCACGTATATCTTACGTACTTATAATGTGTAGTAGCAAATACGCTCAATCGCTAATTTTCAGACAAATTGATTCGTTATAATTACTTCATTCCATAGTCAGAAAATATTCGCGCTCGCCCCTCATACAAAATATCAGTATTCATCGTGTTATTTTTGAACTCTAAAATTGCAATATTCTGCTTTCACCGCTATCCATAACACCCACAATAAAGGAATACTTAATGATTCTAACTAATCTGCCCGGCACTCATTGCCTAACGCATTTATGACATTATACAGAAGTCTCACGCGACTCTCTTCTTGGCGGTTGGCACTATATGTGCCACGTGCGGCAGTGAACTTGGACGCACGACTGTCACAGGCCAACTTTATAGGACCATCCATCCATTAATCAGGTGATGTTTTTTACGCGTTTTTAAGCAATATATTAAATATTTCCACTAGTGGGGAAATGTATTGGCCAGAAAATACCTTAAGTAGGTACTCGATTAGATACTGCGCCGGGGCCAAGCGCATTTTCACAGATGTATTTCTGTTGCCGCTATAACAACAAATACTAAAATACACAATAAGAAAATATTTAAATGGGGCTCCCATTCAACAGATTGATAGATGATTATTTTGCCGTTTTTGTAGATAATGGTACGGAACCCTTCCTGCGCGAGTCAACGACCGACGTGTGTTGGAACACATCGATCTGTTTGTGAACCAAATGACTGCTCAGTGTATAAAAGATACAACACATCGGGGGATCTCAGTTTGTGAACCAAATTACTGCTCAGTGTACAACAGATACACATATAAAACCTCCTTATAATGCTTTAATAATAAAAATTATAAAATAGCTATAAAAATAGTCATTAAAATTAACTAAAGACTAAGCTTTCACAGTAAGTAGTAAAGTATGGTCGACCAATTGCCGGCCTTACTGTGCTCTGTCGCCGGCTGAAAACTTTCCAACGGAATCTCCGTAGTGGTGGTGGTTTCCCTGTCGATGTCGGCGTACGCTTCAGTGCTGTCGTCCATTTCGAACTCCTGCTTCTCGCCGGCACGCCGGTAGTAGCCAGACACGTTCCACACTTTGGTGGTCATCCTGTTCTTCTTCTCGTAGCCCGCGCGCATCAGCATTTTGTCCACGAGGTTGAAATGCTGCGTCGCTTGGAAGAAGGTGATGAAGAACAGCAGGGAGAAGAAGCACCCCACCACGCCGCCGCCGCCGCCCCCGCCGCCGCAGCCGCCGCCGCCGCCGCCGCAGAGCAAGCACTTGAGCTTGGCCGTCAACAGGAAGACGCAGCATATCGGTATTAGAGACAAAATTTGCAGCAGCGTCGAAATGAAGTTGTACAGGGACTGCAAGAGCATTCTGATCATGTTCTCAATCATGAGCAGGAAGGTCATGAAGATCCGCGTGACCATTTGCAGGGTGCAGATTAAGCTCTGCAAAATCCCTTGTATTGTTCGACACATGTTGAGTTTGTTCTGAAAACTGTAGTTTATAACGTTAAAAATAACATTCATTTTGATTCCTAAAGTTAAGATATTTCAATAAGCACAATTAAAGTGTTTATATTTGCATTTTTACATTATGAACTATTTTCTGAAGGTGGAAAATAATATGAGGTTTACTTGTTACGGAAATATAAATATAAGTGCGTAAAAAAAGTTCAGCCTATACATGTCCCACTGCTGGGCAAAGGCTTCCATTGTATAGAGCAGTGATTCTCAACCTTTTTTTTGTTGCGGCACATATTAAACGATTTCAAAATTTGGCGGCACACAAAGAAAATTATTTACTTACTACAACACACTGCATAAATAGTTTATGATAAAAATTTTAAATATACGATATAAACTAATATCTATATATTACAATAATAACGAAACGTTTATTAAGGGATTAATTACAAGTTAATAATAAAAATATTTGTAATGCGAAATTTGAGCTTGATGTTTTTTGATAATTTCATTTATATTTGGTCGTAAAAATGACAATGCTACTCTCATATCGTCTTCTACATTTAACAATCTTGATCTTTTTTTAGTTTTAATGTTAGCTAATGCCAAACAATAGCTTTCTTTTTAAATGATATAATTTAATAATATTAACATTGTTATATATTTGCAAAATTTGGCGGCACACTTTTGAAATTTGGCGGCACACAAAAGTGCCGCGGCACAGTGGTTGAGAATCACTGGTATAGAGCATTTCAGGGCATAGTCAACCACGCGCCCCCACTGCAGATTTGCGGACTTCACATATCTTCGTAATATTTTTTGTTATCATTTCGAAAATGTGCAGGTTTATTCACGATGTTTTGCCTTCATCGCTGAGCACGTGCTAAGTGAGCACTTAAAATCAACAATTTCATTGGCGCTCGAGTTTATTGGGCTAATATTCCGAATAGTACGTCTCGTTTTTCAAGCTAGAAAAAAATTTTAATCTATAGAGCAATGTTAATAACTAAATATCATATAAGTTATAATCAATGAAAACCACTAGATTATGAGGAAAAAATTAAAGTTTTTAAATTCCATACAACTGAAATCCGTCATTACTGTGCGTCCATTATTCATTATAGACTATTATTTTAAGTTAAAAACTTACGTTTTCACTTTTTACGTTGTAAGAAGACACAAATACACACATATATCACAAAAACACAAGTTTCTACTTCATGAACATGTATTATTAACAATTTCTAAAATTTAAAATTTTTGACTTAGTGTACACTTAATGTCTCGAATATTAGGTTCAAAATGAGTCACAGATCCGACACAGAGCGATCCGACTCGGATAGGTTAGGTTAGAAGGTTAAGGCGGGAGCTAAGCTCCCGCCTTAGCCTTCGTTGTTAGGTTCTTTTTTTATGACCACCCAGAAAACTTTAGTGTAACAGTACTTTTTGTATTTTTAAACTCTTTTTTTTAATAATGCGAAGGTTATAATTTGGAAAAGTGTGTGAATTCGTAAATTTATACATGTTGTCAAACACAAAATGGCGGATTTATTTAGTGAAAATAACGTTTTAAATTTTTTTTTTATTAAAAGTAAGTGTTTGCCTTGGTTTTCATGTATGTAATATTTAATTATTAACGTTTCTCTATCGATAAAAATTTTTTTTAGCTTGAAAAACGAGACGTACTGTTCGGAATTTTTACCGTTTATTGAATTAAAGGCAAGCGCCCGGACACTCGGCTATCATGGCTGTCATGATAGCTCAGTGTCCGGGCCATGAGTGAATGAATTGTGTTATATTTGAAAATATTTATATACACATAGATGCTGACTTACGTCACTACGTTTCAAATAGTTATTATCTTTAAAAATCAAACATGCTCTCCCATAAACGTCTAGCAATATCTGGTAAAAACATTTTGTTCACTTTTCATCCTAATTTTACGTTTATTTCACAAATTTCTTTTATGGAGCAATCAGTTTGACAAGTAATGTACTTTGAAAGGTATGATTAAAATTGTTTTAAATAAAGAACGTAATGATTTCGTGCCAGTCTCTACTGATAGATTACTTATAGGTCACCAAAATATTTAAGTATTGTGGCTGACTTACTTATTATAATAACATGATCTGTTTGTCTTTGCGTTTGTGCGCGCTAATCTCAGAAACGGCTTAACTGATTTGAGTGCAACTTTCACTAATGCATTGTAGTAAGCTTCACTTAACATTTAGTACTAGTTTTATTTAAACGGATTGTAAATAAAAAAGAATTGGATGAAAATATAGTTAATTGTATATTATAGTCTGTAAAATGATGATGATCGTAAGTTTATATTATATGAATATAAGGATATAACAATGGATGCGCCAAACAAAGGACGTTAAGATTTTCGTCAGTGTGGCAATCAAGCGTTTAGCTTATTGACTAAAGCGTCAGGTCGCGAATGCCGAAGACGTGGGTTCGATTCCGACAGCAGCAACAATCTTTTCGTACATTTTCTACAAATTTTAATGTTTAATCTTAAGTGCAGAGATTAGCACTATAAAAAAAATTTATTTACGATATAAAATGTTGCACATACGGGCGGAGCCGCGGGCGAAAACCTAGTGAGTTGGGTATAATATTATTTCCCAATAAATCTTTTTTGTCGTAACGCAATTACTTCCATATTTTTAAAGCTTGTGTTTGCCGCTATTGACGAAAAATAAATAAAAGGAATAAAATTAATGTTTCCTAAAAAAATCTTCCAAAGAATGTATGATAATGCTGCCTATGAGTATTTGTTTAAAACTTAAGATAAAAGCAGGTAAAGGATAGCTTAGGTATTAACATTATTTTTGATTTATAATTGATAAATACTCATTTGAACAATATTACTATTACCATTCAATAACTTAAGTCATTAAATTATTACTAGTTGAGTCGCGAAAGTTTCGCACACGATTCGACTAGTAATAATAATATCTAAAGTTGTAAATAACACCAAATAAATCTAATAAAGCATATATTTTATGTTACCATAGTAAAACGGAAATTATTATTTTTTCTTCGAAGACATTAATATAATTCAACAATCTAAGCAATTAAGCCTTGCATATATCATAAAATTCTGTGACAACACCACCTCATTTTCGTTTACAAAAAACATGCGTCAATTGTCCATAGTGCACTATAGAATTACAACTTGTAAGATTGTCGCATCATGAGATCAAAGTAGCTATCATGCTCAATGGAAACACTTATACCACTGTAGTAGTTCATAAACTCCTCCAGTGTCACCTATAACAAAAAGACAAATAAGGATGACTGACATACGTTAATATATTCTAATTTTAAGATCCAATCTTTAAAAACGTCTTTTTTAATTATCTTAGATATATTAGGTCGCTTTACTTTTCCGTCAGCGGATCCATCAATCTCGAAGTTTTCGAGGAACCGGGCCATGACCACTTCTGAAGTTTCCTCCCCACTCATGTACCTGTGCAAGATAATTTTTATAATTAATGATAACAACCCCTGAGAATGATATGATCGCTCCTAAGCTGTTTCTAAAAAAAACTGTGTACTGTATAACAATGTAATTGTTGGAGAAAAAGTGTCAAAAAAAAGGATACCTACGGAGTTTCTTTCGCCTGTTTCTTCTCCATTAGAGGAACCTCATTACGTAGTAGATCTTACTACGATGTATAAATGACTTGATTTGAACTTTGGGATCATTTGCAACAAACATTAGTTTTTTGGTACCATGAAGACATATTAGATGACTCCATGGCGCAGTTGCCAAGGTGTTGGCTTCGGCGTCGGGGGCCGTGGGTTCGATTCCCACTCGAGACAAGTGTTTGTATGACCCACAGATAGTTGTTTCGCATCTGGGTGTTTGTCCGCGTGAAACTTATGTTTGTAAAACGTCCTTACAACACAGGATATTGTAATCCTAAAATGAGGGTAATGCTTAATAAATTAAAAACAAAATAAAATATTAACATGGGTTCTCGCGCTACTAGTCGTAGGCCCGCTACGTGATGCCGCGACCCTTATTGCTGTTTAATGGTGAAATGCTAAACTAATACTAGCCAGAACCCACGGGTTTGGGCCCTACCCACAGCCGAGGGCCCAAGCCCGTGGTTTCTGGCTAGCCCACCGGTTCTGCGTCAGATGAAGCTTTAATAGTCTCGGGACTGAACGCACAAACATCAGTTAATACAAGATACAAGAAGACTGATAGTGGGCAATAATCGTACCTAGGTTGAGACTCGACCGCGTAAAGATTGCGAATAGCGTCTATGGTGATAGCGCTCTCGCCGGGCTTGTGGAGGAATTTTCTAAATGCCTGCTCCACAATAGCGCGGCGCGAGTCAGACATTGGCGGCTGAACCGAACAATAAAACAATTAATAAATTATTTAAAAAAATATATTAATTATTAAATAACGGCTCCAGCGATTTTCATGAAATTTAGTATGTGCGTAGGTTTAGGGGCGAAAAATCGATCTAGCTAGGTTTCATTTTTAGAAAATGTCCTGTTATCCCTGTTTTCAGGGAATGGAAAATATCATTCGAAATGAGAGTAAATTTCGCCGCAAAAAAAATGTTATAATAGCTCGGTCGGTAATCGGGCGGCCCCCTAAAACAGACGGTCGCGGTTCGTATCACGAACATTTACACACTTATTTTTTTTTTACAATACCAGATCATTCTTTATTTTTTTTTTTTCCAAAATACATGATTTACAAAAAAAAAACCGATCGGAACCGGTCCTCCAGCTACTTTATATAGGAACTATACAATTAATGTTCGGAATCGGACTATTCACTTGATTTTTTGTAAGGATTAATTTTTATCGCTAGTCTCTCAACTCGAGATGAAATTTAAACTTGTGAATTCTTGTTAACAAATTAAGAAAAACTTTCGGCGCTGCGGGAATCGAACCTGGGTCTTCCGGTTTTGCGCCCACTGACGTTTACCTACTAACTGACGAAGAAAGAAGAAGACTGGTACGATAGCCAACGTCGGGAAGACAAGAATTTCAGGTAGGCCAGGCCAGATATTTTACCTGGACAGGTACGATGCGACGATGCCCATATGACGTCCGAGAGAGTGAGAGAGATAGCATATCTATAACCAGCCTATCGAAATTCTCTCTCGAAAACGTTGCTAGCTCTTAAACTACAAGCGGCCGATCACCTCACGGTACAAAACTCGCAACATCCATCTACATTCTTATTATTACATTTAATTCAATGTGGTATCCATTCTTTAGACCAAGCAAATTTATTGAAGTTACAGATGGTTACGAGAAAACAAAATAAAAGCTGTGATTCATTGTTTTTAGGTCGATTTTCAAACATTCCGGACATAAATCGATTGAATACAAAGTTATACAATTATCATAAATAAACTGCTTACACGTATTTTCTCGATCAATTTATCGATACTGATGGTGCCGTGATTTCCAGAATCAAGCACGTCGAACAGCTGCTCGCTTTCCTAAAAAACCCCATTAAATAGTTTAGTTAATAAACAACTGCAGTTAACAGTCCCCAACTACTCCACCAACCCACACTGTAAACATGCTGAGTATGTCACCAGATAAATTCACAAAAAAAAGACCTTAAAAAATCTTGCATGTATGCAAAAAAATAAATTTCAAATATATGCAAAATCTGCCAAAATGCATTTGTCTACATAAATCATGCAATTTATACATATTTCATTACATAGGCAATATGTTTACAATCACAGTATGGATCCAAAAAGGGGGTCAGGGATCTTAGTATTCAAATTGTTTTCCTACTCAGTTGATCTCATAGGTATAAGACGTATGATCATTTATTATAGAACTATGCATGCTTTTTATGGGCATTTATTTATGTCCTTAAACCATGGTACAGGAGCAAAAATTGCATATGTATTTAAGGAATCAGTAAAAAAAAATATAGTTACCTCCTTGGTCATCTCAACTCCAGTTAAGGACAATGTGTTGACAAACTCTTCCTTGTTGAGTTCTTTGTTATCATCTTTGTACAATCTTCTGAACACCCTAAATTGATAAAATGTTGCTATTAGAAATAGCAGTAGTATTGTGATTTTATTCACCACACCCACAACTGTTTACACAAATGTTTTTAATGAGTACAAAACTCTTGAAATGAAAGTAAAACAAACAAGAGCTATTTACTAAATAGATTGAAAAGATGAGAACAGTTTCACAACAAGAAGTAAAATCACTTGACCTCTTGCACACCTAACATTATATATAATTCGTCACTCACCTCTTGCAGGTCAGGAGAAAAAGCAAATATTAAACAATACTGCACCTGAGGCACTCACTGTATGTGTCTTAAACAAAAAAATTGTCTAAGAAGTTGATAACATGGATCATAAGATGTCAAAGTTTGGTTGGGCACTACAAAACCTTTTTGGAGCTATTTCTTTTGCGAAAAATATCTAAAAAATCAAATATACATAAATATAATTAATAGTTTTATTACCAAGAGAAACCAAAATTTAAAATATTATATATTGCTGCATTTCTCATACTTCCTTTAACCTCACATTACATGCTTCACTTTAACAATGCTTACATTTTTGAAAGAAATACCTCACACATACCTTACCGATCATACATATTTATTAACTAATTTTTGCATTGACATAACTAATTTTTTTTTATCATAAACTAACAGAAATCTTACCACCATTATCCAATATTATTGAAAATGATGTTAGGATATTGACTTATTCATAAAGATCACTGCTGCAGTTAAAATCAATGGCTACTGAAAACTAATATTTGATGTAGTGTGGGGTTTTGCGTTATACATACTGTCGCACATTTTTTTACAATTTCTGCCTCAAATAATATATCCGCAACTGGTAAAAGTTTAGCTAGTTAAATAAAAATAATACGACGCAATTGCATACGATTTGCTCAAGCTCAAGCTCGGTTAAATTACAGTCAAACTCAGTGACAAACAGACAACAAACTAAATAAAACGTAGTGGTTATATAACCCTTTGCTGAAAAACTGAAAGTGAAAACTAAACGTAGTGGTTATATTATTCTCTCTTCGATGAAAAGTTGTGAAAAACTGAAAAGTGAAAACTGGTGAAAACTACTGCTAATCAAAACTCAAATAGGGATGTCGAAAAAATACCGATATTTTTAATATTAAATATCGATGTTTTTAGCCGATACATTTAAAATATTCAATATCGAAATAATATCAAAAACGATATCTTTGTTTACGATATCTTATCTTTTTCCGACAAAGTTATTTTGACCCAAAATTTTAGCTCTATCATACCTCCATAGGAATTAACATATTCCGTTCACTTACCCCTTAGATGCTCCTTTGTTAATATCAATTTTGGAACCTCATGTTAACAAATTGTTTTTACTAAATTCGCAATAAATTGCTCCTACTATTTTGCGACATAATATTCTTGTACGTACCTCCTTCGCTCGAGTTTAGTTTGGAAATGCGGTGATTTTTTTTAACGAAATTGATTTTCATCTTAAATCAGCTCTAGAAAAATTTTTAATTTATCTCTTAATAAATTAAGCTAGACTCAAGCTACGTTACAATTTGTTTTGGTGGTTAAGGAAAGTTTATAGCGTTGCTTAGGCATTGCTGTAGGAATCCGGAAATGTCCATGTGATGTCATTGTAGAATAATTTAGTCTCCACGGTCTTTCTTGTCAAAAAAGTGCTGGCCGCTTTTCCTACACAGTTTCCTGAACGACATCATCCGTAGGCTCCTCTTCCATCTATTTTAGAGCCCCGTGGCATTTTTCGCGACGCTGGTAAGAGACCTGACGGTTTGACTTTGATCCCTTGGGAGGGAGTCAAAAACCTTGTTTGGGATGCTACTTGTGCACACACTTTGACTGCCTTTCACCTAAGGGGTACTTTGGTCAGGGTCAGGGCGGCATGTCAACGGCCAAAGTTTCAACAGCAAATTGCAGCTATGGGTCTGTGGGTTCCCCGCACTTCTAAATTTTTAAAGGTTTATGACCTAGACTTAAAGGTGCGGCTAGTGACAAGAGAGCTGGTTCATTAAGTGTAACTATTCGTCCCGCTCTAACTAGTGAGTATTTATATCTCACGCGCTTTGTCGCTCGATATCTGATATCGTGCATTGCTTGCCGTCCCGCTCTAACTAGTGAGTATTTGCATCTCACGCGCTTTGTCTCTCGAAATCTGTTTAAAAATCAGATATTGTGGCAAACGCGTATGATATCGCGATTCGTGTCGGTATAGCGGCCGAGCATGGTACATCAGATTTAGGAAATATCAGATATTGTAAAATACATAGATATTGAACGAGCCAGTAACCTATATTCGGATATTGTACTAATATCTAGTTTTCATATCTGATACGATTTGTATCGCCCACTTCTACAAACGATAGTTTACATCGGTAGTTTTAAACAGCGATATATCATTCATAAACATCGGTATTGAAACCCAAAAACGAGCAATGTTTTATGAACAATCTTTTATCGTAGCGCCGTTTCCATTCCGTTCCATCTGTGAATACAGCTTAGTTTTTAGGATTCCGAACCCAAAAGGTAAAATAAGACCCTATTACTAAGACTTTTCGCTTTCTGTCTGTCCGCCTGTCACCAGGCTGAAATTTTCACAAGTAATGTATTTCTGTTACCGCTTTAACAACAAATACTAAAAAACAGAATAAAAAAATATTTAAGTGGGGACAACAGACGTAATTTTTTATGCCGTTTTTATAGATTTAAGAATAGAGACTTTAATACTCGGCTCTAAAATAACAACAGGGCCAAGGGAAATAGAAAATCAGCGCTACACACTCAGCCTTATTGCCTTATGCCGTCTATTGTATCATACGCTGAGTTTCCACGTTTTGCCAAGGTGCTCTTATTTTTTTTTATCTTGTAATTTTAATATTTTTCTAAAAATTTCTAAATAGTTTTAATATTCTTATAAAGTTGTTGTTTTATCCATAACATGTTTTAAATATTTTTTTTAAATCTATAATATATCTTTTCGTTTATATATCATCGTTTGTCCTATATAAAAGCCTGCATTCGCTGTCAAGCTTGTGAACTCCTCGACCTTGTAGAGGGATATTATACTTGACAAATGGTAACATCCTAATTTCAATAGAGAAGATGGTAGGTAGGATTTATCATCAGCTTGGAATCCCATAATTTATAAAATTAAATCCAAGCACACCAACACTGCTAGAGCTCAAGATCCCGCTCTTTGTGCGTAGATCGAAATAAAAATAAATGTTAAAAAGCGACAGTAGCCTGGGTTAACTTTGACATTAAAATATGAAAAAAGTCTGTCCCATGACCATGAACGCTGGAAAGATCGGGAATAAAAAATCAAATTAAAACGCGATAAAATCTGTAAAATAGTTTCTTTTTGTCATGATTGCTTTTCATTTAGTGCAAAGTTAATTACAGTTTTGTGGTTCGTTGTTTTAAATAAGCTCTAAAGGGTTCAGATCTGGATTAATAGCTTACAAGAGTTAATTGATTATTGATATCGATCAACTTCCTTTGTATTGGCTTACATATAAAAGAAATATTTTTCTCATCAAAGTAAGTAAATAAAAATAAGCGTTACTATTATTAATTTTTTGTCGAGTTTAATATAATTATTGTTCTTTAGGCGTGCGTCAATTTTGTGCATTCTGCATAGTGTAATATATAATTACAACTTGTAAGATTGACGCATCATGAGATCGAAGAAGCTATCCTTCTCAATGGAAACGCTTATTCCACTGTAGTAATTCATAAATTCCTCCAGTGTCACCTGTAACAAAAAGATATAAATAGGATGACTGAAATCTAGGGCTATAATTTTAAATACAGTTTACTGAGACTCGATTCAAGATGTAGATGTATGACGTAACCGACAAAATTTTATTTAAAAATATAGTAAATGCTTACTTTTCCATCAGCGGATCCATCAATCTCGAAGTTTTCCAGGAACCGAGCCATAACCACTTCCGAAGTTTCCTCCCCACTCATGTACCTACAAATTTTTTTTTTAATTAGGTTAATTTATCATAAACAGTTCCTGGCATCATGGAGCAACATATATTATCTTTGGCTTACGAGTAGTGGGCTCTATACTTAAAGAAATCGAGCATCACCCCACTACTTAAAAGTTAAAAACTAAAGTAATAGGGGCGATAAACGCACCTTGGGTGAGACTCGACCGCGTAGAGTTTGCGAATATCGTCGATGGTGATGGCGCCCTCCCCGGCCTTGTCCAGTTTCCTAAATGCCTGCTCCACAACAGCGTGGCGCGAGTCTGACATTGGCGGCTGAACGAAACAAGAAAATGAAAAAAACAATTATGACATTATTGGCTTATTTACATAGGGACAATACACACTTGCGGACGTTAACATTCACAAAGCCTGTGGGGGTTGCAGATGCATTGCCCAACTTTAAATTGGTGGCCTAGTTATCTGAATACACGAATAAACTGTTAAATTCTACTATAGTGAGACACGTTACCCTCGGGGTAGCGGTAACTGACAACTGCAGGAGAGCCTGCTTACGTCATTCACAAGACGAAAAGATGAAGCATTAATACTTTGTGGTCCGGTGTTATGTACTTCTCGGACGGACCATCCCTTTAGTGCTATAGCAGAAGCCTATATATCCATTGGCTCTGCGTAGAGATGTTGGACCACTCTACATCTTCTACCGCATTTATCACGGAGAGTGTTGCGTGGAACTGCTCGGACTGATCCCGACGGCTGAATTTCACTATCGGACATCGATTCAAAATCAAAAATTTCATCCACGCCACCTCGGTCTCTCGTCCAGCGTTCCACAACAGGGCGATTTTCAAGGTATTCCTGTCTCACACAATCACTCTGTGGAAAGAGCTGTCGCCGGCGGCTTTTCCGAACCGTTACTACTTGGGAACGTTCAAGAAGAGAGCATACTGTTTCCTAAAACGCCGGCAAAGCATTTTTAAGCCCAACGGTGCAGGTGTTCATGGGCGGCGCTGATCATTTACCATCAGGTGAGCTTCCTGCTCGTTTGCCCCTTTCCCCATTAAAAAAAAAGCTGCATTGCTCTACTATTGCGAAGCATATTTTTCAACAAAATACCACCTCCACAAATTATTTAATATCGTCTCCATACTTTAGATCAAACGAATCAAGTGAAGTTGCAGATACGCACTTTAAAAACATTGATGAAGGGTGACTCAAAAGTAGCAAAAGAAGAAACGAGTCGACATTTCGATAGTGAATCTCGAAAGTTCCAGGCAGATTAGCAAAGTTCTTTGTCCGTTTCGTGACCATGGACAAGACTTGGATGCATCCTGACAACAAATAGCAATCGATGACCTGGAAGCTGCCCTCCTTACTATCGCCGAAGAAATTGAAAAGGACGGTTACGGCATCAGTTTTTGAGCATGCTGCAGGAATTATTATTATGGAATATTTTGAAAGGGGAGCCACTATATCTGGCTTTTACTACGCTGACCAGATAAGAAGATTGCTATTAAGGAAAAGAGAAATAAAATGCTGTTTCATGGGCAGTCGGCACAGCGTACGGATACACAACAAATGCTGCTGCATTTCAAGAAACAAGTTTCAAAATGCTTGCCCACCGTGAGTATAATAACGAAGGGATGTTTAGTGTTTAGGCGTTCTGGCAGAATTTTTTCTAGGAGTAGATATCCTAGGTTTGGTGGGGTATGGAAAGACGATTAGTCAATCTTTTACATATAGGTACGTCTATATTAAAATGTTAGGAGACTGTGTTGAAAAATATTTTTTTTAAAGTTTTCTCACCTTCATTTATATTATTCATTACTTTTACTTTTGGATCACCCCTTTATCGCATTTTAATTCGATTTTCATTTATGCCGGTCATAATTTATGGACACAAACTTATACAATTAGCATAAATAAACAACTTACACGTATTTTCTCGATCAATTTATCGATACTGATGGTGCCATGATTCTCAGAATCCAACATGTCGAACAGCTCCTCGCCTTCCTAAAATAATCGAAGTAAACAAACCTAGTTAATAAACAACCGCAGCAGTTAAAGGTCTCCACCTACAACCACACCCACACCGTAGACGCGCTGTAAACATTTAGCCAAATACATAGGGCGTGGTAGCTCGGTGGCCTTGAGTTCGCTTTCAATTCAGTATATGCTACCTAAACTTAAAAGTCGGTGCGCGCCCATTGTTAATTGAAGTTTAAGTATTGATTTGATTACTACGCATTTGCCGAAGACAGATAAGATCATATCTACGAAAAAATAAGTTCGAATATATGCGAAATGTACCAAAGCGCGTTAGTCTATTTTAGTATTACCTGGCAATGGATGTTCCTACATAAATCATGCAAATTATGTTTCATTACATATGCCAATACATTTATGGTATGGAACTAGATTTATGTATGTTCTTGAAGTATGGTAAAATAACGAAAATTGCATATGTATTTAAAAACAGTTTAAGGAACCAATAAAAAATTTATAGATACCTCCTTGGTCATCTCAACTCCGCTTAAGGACAATATGTTGACAAACTCTTCCTTGTTGAGTTTTTTGTTACCATCTTTGTAAAATCTTCTGAACACCCTAAATTGATAAAATGTTTGCATTAGAAATAGCAGAAGTATTGCGATTTTATTGACCACACCCACAACTTTTTGCACAATTGTTGTTAGTGAGTATTACACAACACTTAAAATGAAGGTTAAACAAACTAGAACCATTAACTATCACTAAGTAGATAGAAAACATGAGGGCAGCTTCATGACAAGTAAAATCACTTTACCTCTAGCACACCTAAAATTACATAATCGTCACTCACCTCTTGCAGGTCAGGAGAAAAAGCAAATATTGAACAATACTGCACCTGATGCACTCACTGAATGTGTCTTAAACAAGAAGTTGTCTAAGCGCTGATAACAAAGATATCATGTCAACCTTTGGTTTGGGCACTACAGAACCTTGCTGGGACTATTTCTTTTAAAAAAATATCTAAAAAATCAAATATATATATAAATATAATAAATTATTTTATAACCAAGAGAAACCAAACTTCCTTTAACCTTAAATAACATGCTTAACTATAACTGTAATTTCATATAATCATATAAATTTGGTACTTTACTTCCATTCTTAAAATCTCCTTGATAATTTAAAAAGAATTTGTATGCCATTCCCAACAGATTTAAACTTCTATAGAACAAATACCTCATAGGCTTACCCATTATTCATATAAATTATTCGTGTATTGCCATGAGAATTTGTTTTTCTATAGAAATCTATATATATAATCATATTATTGAATGATACAATTCATACATATCACTGCAGTTTAAATTAATGGGTCCTGAAAACTAACAAAATTCATAATAGAATTTTAACAAAATTGATATAGAAAAATGTCATAATGCTGAAATAGTTATAGAAACTCTTTCTATGGTTGTCAAATGTATTTGAAATTGGATGCTTACCTCCCTAAACCTAAAACTCCAGTTGCCCCTCTAGATAGACAGAGCAAACGTAATTTCTCCAAAGGATCAGTAGTATGGCACACTGCTCTGGTGCTTTTTTGTATAAGTTCCTCCTCTTGCAGTGAGGATGCAGACTGGGGTCTATGCCAGGCAACTGAAATTGAACATGAATTGAAAAGATAGGTCCTTACTTATCATTGACAATGTATATAATTCAATAACTGCTTACACAAATATAGATATAGAGATACAGATATAGAGATATAAAGTTATAGAGATATATGAAAATTATATATATTTTTTATTTATTTGATAAACTACACTCACCAATGTTCATACCTCTATTCCAAATATTAAAAGCAATTCGAACACATTAATACCCATAAAAGCATAGGTAAGAGGTAGCTATGACACTAGCACCGAAACTGAGGAACTCAAATTACGCCAATTGGCGTAATTAGATTGAAATTCTATACATTGCATCTCTTTCCATATCGTACTTTCCATATCAGCTGTCACATGCATATAATATATTCATATATATGTCATTTAATGTAAAGCTGAATAATACTTAAACGCCGCGCAGTATGGAAATGAGTCATCTTTATTAAAAACACCATTACATATTAATATGGATCTATCAAAGACTGCGTCGTATCGCGCTAGCAGCATTAGATATATTAAAAATTTAAAGCAATAAATTAAAATTAATATATCCTTCAGTTTTATGTAAATATACAATTAATTCAAAAGTTAAGTAAGTTTTTGGTGTAAAAGAAGCAAGATAACGATTTTTTGATATCACATTAAAAATATTTTAAGTTTAAATTACTATAAGTACTAAAGATACTGTATTTTAAGAATAATTATATGTTTATCAATGAATATTAATGAAAAAAATTACTTACTATTGGATGAAGTATGTGGCTTTCCCTGATACATGTCGCACATCTTTTTACAATTTCTTCGAATAATATAAACGTGACTATTAGAAGAGTTTAGCACAACGCTAAAGATACGCTCAGTCGCTCAGGCTCGGTTAAACGCAATTGCAATAACAGACCTCAACATAGATATTAGTACTCACTCACTGGCAGTTAGTACATAAGTGAGTTAATCCTAAGTCTATACTCCCCAGCATAGATAAGACATATATACTGCTACCCAGGTAAACCTAAACATAAATCTACTACCAGTATCGATTTTATTTTGTGCTGCCAGATTAAAAAACAAAATATGGAAATTCACGAATACAAAAATCGATTATTGAATGGTAACTGTTATTGTTACCAAATTTTTTTCTGTTTGCATACTTTGTTAAGTAAGTTCTTGTACAACATTTATGTTCATTTACGGTACTTTATGAGTAAACATGTGTCTTATAATTATTCAAAATACAAGTACGAACCTATAATGAAGTAAATACTAATACTATTTCTGCCATATCTTTTCGCTTTTAGAAACGGCAACTTCTCGGGAACATAAAAAAAGTTTAGAAAATGCTAAACTTAGCGCAGAATGCACTATAATGGCAACCCTGAGCACACAGATAGCACTAAAGTGTCATGACTAGGCAAAACTTAATAAATGAAAAAAAAAATACTTTTCTTCGATACAGATCGGATTTCGATTTTACCTATCACTAATATAACGATTTGTTTATTTGTTACTGCATGATAAACATTGGATGATGTGAATCAATAACAATAATTTTCGAAAACATTTAAACAAGATTAAAAGTTACTATAATAAATCTTAAGTTTATTGTATACATCGATATATAGTCTTAATCGAAGAAACGTAATTCTTAACGAGTTTTGCGAGATAGCGAATTCGGGGCCAAACTGAGCGCTTTCAATTTTTTTTAAGTTAAGAACATTGCCCTTACTTTACAATAATATTATCCTGTGTTGTAGGGACGTTTTACAAACAAAGGACATCGGCCAAATTTCTATAGAAGCTGGACCTGACTTTTAATTTCTGTGTCCAAAAATGTGCCATAGTGAGATTCGTATGTTTTTAGGTAAAAACACCGAATGAATATTATGTCTAAAATGCCAGGATATTATATAATAAGGATATTATATAATAATAGGATATTATTTAATAATGCAAAAATACTTTTGAGGTTAGGATCAATCATTTAATGATAGAATAAATAAATTATACCGAGATTGTTTTTTTTTTACTTAAAAAACTCCCAATTCAACATATTTTAACAATGTAAAAAATAATTTTAGCTTAGAATCAATAAGTAAGTCGAAGTAAGCCCAGTTCCTACATTCAACGAACAGTCGTTAGTAACAGGTACTAATCGTTTCTTACTTACGAGCAACGAGGCGTCACCTAGCGTTGTATTTACAGTTATACTCAATTATACCTACTACTATAAAATAATGCCCTTTTCACCCAAGATAAAAACAGATAGATGCCTGGACTGGAATGTAATTAAGCAAAATAAACGTAAAGTACTTATGTACTTAAAATAAAGCTGGCCAAAATGGAGATGAAAATATTGTATCATTTTATTTTTTGGATACTTTATATTAATTTTCCTTATGACTTGATTTGATTTAACTTATACATAAAAGAAAAGTATTACATTATTGTTTACTTATATTAGTTTTAATTATAACATACAGGGTGGCTTTTCAAAGTGTATCCATTTTTTTTCATTAAATTCTAGACATAAAGAATGTTATATAAAAAATGATAAATATTTAAAATCACTTGTAAGTAATTAATTACATTCATTTGAACCTATCCCAAAACGTGCGTCATTTATACGCAACTCATTTTTTTACGCGCAATCATTCATAACTAACACGCACAAGTTCGTGCACAACAGTAAAATTTAGATATTTATGAATGACTACCGCATTGTTAACACGTTTTGTGTTTTAGGGAATAGAATGGCATTTTTTGAAAAAAAAAACTTTGTTTTTTATTTCAATAAACGATTATACTACCGAGGCTGAACCATATGTGTCAACTAAAGTATAGTTCGGATCAGTGCCTTGGGCAGTTTACCCAAAACTTGTATTCCTTATCATCTAGTAATAAGATTAAGTTATGACATAATTGTAAAAAAAAAATAATAATAAAGTTACAAATAAATGGGTGTTTCATTTATTAATTTATTTAAAACCCTTTTTCTGCCGGGACTTTAAGCAAATAATTCTTCATGATACATAATGAACAAAACATTTCCTGCCGTGGGGCAATTATATTATCAACTTCATTATGTATTGCTTGTTGTAACTCATATGAATTCTCTCACAATAAATTCACGTCTACCTTTCAGCAGAGAACTATCACAAAGTAAACAAACAAGTTGTGGCATTCATGTTAAGAGTATATAGGAACATCTGTATTCATGGGATTAAAACTTATTTTTCTTTTGTAGACACATTTTTTTTCTCAATTAGATTGTCGACTTCTGAGACGTGAACAGAATTTATATACAGTGTGTCGTTACAACCGCGACAATAAATGAACACACGTCTAACGCTACTTGCCAATAATCATAAAAAAAATATAAACGTAAAAAAACCCATAACTAAAAAAAAATAATATTCAAACAATCTAATTAAATAAAACAGAAAAAAAATTGTAGCATCCTGTACAACTACAACTGACTGATTCATATATTCAAAGAATTTTTTTCAAACCCGTGGGTTCTTCAAACCCGTGAGTTCTGGCTAGCCCACCGGTTCTGCGTCAGATGAAGCTTTAATAGTCTCGGGACTGAAAGCAAAAACATCAGTTAATACAAAAAAGAATTTTTCATTCGTTGCCACAGCGTCGCATTACAAATCTCTCCTTCTAACAGCATGTTTTATCTCTTTTGAATTCATTCGACACATTCATATGCTTTGTGAGCTTTACAAATTACAATCTTATTTTCTTTGTTCTAGGTAATTGCTATAATTATGTAAATTTGTTTAGATATTCTATATATAAAAATATACATATTTAACATTCATAAAATCATTCTCGTCATCATTTCATTATAAAAGTTAGGCAAAAATAAACAACCAGAAGTGTACATTGGCCTATTCATTGAAAACCGCCAAAAAAGAAAAGAAGAAGAAGACTTTTACAAATGAACTTTACGTTACAGTTTTATACGTAAGATGTTCTAAAATAGTTTGTTTTGGAAAATTTAATAACACGGTAAATATTGATGTTTAAATAATATAAATGTGTATTCATTTATTGTCGCGGTTGGATATTGGATTAATTATGGATTTTTCTTAACGTAATATTTTTGTATGATTATTGGCAAGTAGCGTTACACGTGTAAATTTATTGTCACGATTGTAAAGACACGCTGTGTACAGCGTAATTAGTTTGTTTGAAAAACATATTTTTTATTATGGATTTTTTAACGTTTTATAATATGTTTTGTTGATTATTGGTACTTGCGTTAGACGTGTGTTCATTTATTGTCACGATTGTAACAACACGCTGTGTATACAAGAATTGCTTGTTTAAAGGTATTGGATTGGCTACGTATCGCTAATTAAATAATTACTTTTCATAAAATGAGTTCAGTAACTATTGTCGATGTATTATCACAAATAGTGTACGACTGTTACATAATTTGCTTCGTAAACGGATCATTTCTTATACTCATATTTGTATAAGTAAATTTAATATTATGTATATTTACAACTTTCAGCAACAGTAAATTGTTTTTTTCCAGGAGAGCTAGATCACTGCTTGAAGATGAGTCCCATTGATCTTTAAATGGAACTTATTTTTTTTTTCAATAGATCAATAAAAAATAAAAATAATAAATCAGCCGTAGGATCCAAACATTATCCCCGAAAATTCTAGGATTGAATTTTGAGATTACTAGAGATAGTCAAACTTACGGACGGATAGATGTCAACCATTATTGGGACGCGACAAATGATAATTTTATACAAATATCTATCCATAGTAGTGTATAAGCTATCCGTCCTCAGTAGTCCTCACACAGACAGATAGTATATAGGGATAGGGATTTCCTACGGTCGATAGGTTTATAGGGACAAAAATTTAAAGATTGATAACTATTTTTATCTTTGGAAGCGCAAAAACAGAGATAGATTGAATATTGGCATCGGCCGTTATAGAATACAAGTATCGAATTGGGCGTAACTCTTACGCCCGGTTTCTGAAACACTGATCATCGTTGAAATTAAATAATCTCCTATCAAGTGGCTTTTCAAATGTCACTTGAGTTGCCAAAAGGATGGTTAAACTCTCTGAATTGATCAGAATGTTCAGAAGTAAGTGAGGTACGGGGTTCAACATTGAGGGGAAATTCACTCTTAACAAATTTACTCTTACTTCATGGAATACGACTCAACGTATAAATCAGAGCTATTGAAATTATAATAGTAGAATCTTATAATTATTTTCATTATTTCTTATAATTATTTCATTTTGATTTATATTTTCTGGGTTTATTTATTTTGTTAATGTTTTATGAAAATACATCGATTACATTATTCGATATATCGAGTATACCTTAGTATCGATGTAAAAAGTACTTTTTGCATCGGAAAGAAGTATCGAGTTCGTCACCTGTGCTTGGAGTCCTTAACCTTGGAATATTATTATTTGTTACCTATTATTGTTTATCGTTACTGTCAGTTACAGGGCGGGCTGCCAACTTACGGGTTTTCCCCCAAATTTAGGAGGTAAACAAACGTCTTGGGATTTTTAGGGTCGTTATATTTTTTAGGGATTTTTTGAATTCTTACACTTTTTCCTACGTTTTATTTCTTGTGATTTTTTTATTAAAGGTATAAAAATAATGGGCCTGGAGTAACGCAATCTGCCCAATTATGTTTTGTTGACCTAGCGGCTTAGCGATATCTAATAATTTCAATACTAAGAATGCAGATTTGAACTATAGAGAGTAGAGAGGAAAAGTGTCCGTCGTAGAGAGTAGAGAG